TATTGTCACCGCTACCGGCTTGGGAGAACCGGGCCGAACCGGGAGGAACCCACCACTGGAAGGGACGATATGAAAGCCCACGCCAAGATATAGCCAAGATCATTAATCTGCGGCCATAAATCAGCCAGTTTTTTGTGTAAACTTCCTGATAGTTGCAGACTTTGCTGACTGTGATTGTTTCACACCAATACAAGTCTCTCCCTTTTGCACCTTGCAGGCAGACAGAGCAATGCAACTGTTAGTTTTCAATCTGCCTGATTTTATGATCATTTTTGCACACGTAGCGGTCCTTAAGTGAGCCCATGGTAAACTCAATCAAATTTCTGGCAAAAAAAAAAAAATCATAAATCACAGTCACGTGATTGCAGGATGCTGTAAACAGACATAATTGTGGGCCAGTTGCTGAGTGCCCCAGCATGACCACGGGGGGCATCAGAACTTCAAATCTGGGTCATAAGTATCTTTTTTGAGGTCCATCATAACTTTGAATGGTCACTAAAGAGCTGGTCATAAGTCGGGGATCATCCATATTCCTCTTGATGGAGTAGAGTGCTTCCAATTACCAATAAAGGAGAATATTTGTAACTCAGGGTTGAAATGAAGAGTCATTGATGCTCTCTGAGCTTGGTTGTTTTCTTGCAGACATTTTATTACCCAACTAGGTAATATCATCAGTGCTAGAAGGGGGTGGATTTGTGGAGAGGAGGAGAAGGAGGAGGAACTGTGGGGTCCTTGATGCTCTCTGAGCTTGGTTATTTTCTTGCAGATGTTTCATTACCCAATTAGGTAACATCATCAGTGCTAGAAGGGAGGGGGTTGTGGAGAGGAAGAGGAGGAGGAATTGTGGGGTCCTTGATGCTCCCTGACCTTGGTTGTTCTCTTGCAGACATTTCATTACCCAACTAAGTAACATCATCAGAAGGGGGTTTGCTCTCTGTCTCCTTTCTAACTGATGATGTTCTCTAGTTGGGTCATGAAACATCTGCAAGAAAACAACCAAGCTCAGAGAGCACCAAGGACCCCACAGTTCCTCCTCCTCCCCTCCTCCTTCTCCTTCATTGTGCAAACCTTACTCCCTTCTACCACTGATCATGTTACCTAGTCGGGTAATAAAATGTCTGCATGAAAACAACCAAACTCAGAGAGCCCCAAAGACTCCTCAGGATGCAAACTTTCCTGCAAAATTAAGATTATTTTGTACAATAATTCTGTTGTGGGGGGGGGAACAGTAAACTCTTTGTTGCTGCTACAATTTGAACATTTCAAAACCTGCACAGGTGAACCCTGGCCTTTGTTCCTGCTCAGCCCACATGGCTAACTTCACATCTGCAGTCAGGAAAATGGTGCCAGGAGGTTTCCATGACGCTCGGGCACTTGAGACACTTTTGTGTCATCCCTGAAGTGGCACTCAAATCAGAGGCTGCAAGAACAAGTGTGATAAAGCCCATGTATGTTGTAGCTGTTTAAAACTCTCGTTGTGGTTGGTTAAGGTGAAGGCAGGTGAGGGTTTGCAAAAGAGAAGGAGGGAGAAAAGGGGAGGGAGATGGAGACAAGCGAGGACTTGAAGCTGATCAGACGAGATGAAGATGAACAGCAGAAGGATGAAGCTTCCCTTAAAACACTCAAGTATCTGGCTGGCATCTTCTCAAACACTTTCATTTCTTCTCTTAAAGAACCGAATAACAATTTTGTACTTGTTTTGATCGCCGAATGACAATTTTGTATATGTTTTGATGGCCGAATGACAATTTTGTATGTGTTTTGATCGCCGAATGACAATTTTGTATGATTTTTTGATCGCCAAGTGACAATTTTGTATGTGTTGTGATCGCTGAATGACAATTTTGTATGTGTTTTGATGGCCGAATAACAATTTTGTACAGGTTTTGATCATGTTGCTGTTCCCAGTTTGCAGGGAACTGGGGAAATTGTGAGACCACCGATTTAGCTAAGCAAGCCCTGACAAAATCATCTCCCTGCTCCAGTTTTCCTGAATTTCTATGTAATGTGCAAACATTCACTCTATTTTCCTTGGGTTTAAGGACATTAATTTCCAGAGCCATTCCCTTTATTTGCACCATATAGGTAGTCCTTGACTTACAACCATTCATTTAGTGACTGTTCTAAATCACAATGGCCCTGATTTATGACTGTTTTGTAGGGTCTCCTCCTTGGGTGGAAGACTGGACTAGAAGACCTACAAGCAGTGGTGGGATTCAAGTAATTTAACAACCGGTTCTCTGCCCTAATGATTTCTTCCAACAACCAGTTTGCCAAAATGCTCAGAAAATTAACATCCGGTTCTCCCAAAGTGGTACAAACTGGCTGAATCCCACCACTGCCTACAAGGTCCCTTCCAACTCTGTTAATCAGTTAAAAAAAAAAATGCCCATGGTCGCATGATCAAAATTTGGATGCCTGGCAACTAGCTCATATTGATGACGGTTGCAGTGTCCTGGGGTCATGTGATCACTTTCTGTGAGCATCTAACAATGAGGAATCAGATTCATTTAACAGCCGAACAACCACAGTGATTCACTTAACAACAGGGGCAATGTTTAAATGTTTAATATATTATAATATTAAGTTTAGAGAAATAATGTGAATATGAATGTGAATGATGTGGCAAATGGTGAAAGATGTTGCACAGAGAGTTTGTACCAGGGTTGAAATGCTCCCGATCCAGTAGCGATGGCGGCGGGTGGTTCGGGAAACTGGTAGCAAAAATCCCTGCACCCCACCCCACCCCACCCCCATGCCCTGCTGAGCCGCGCAATCATCAGAGGCTTTTTTAAAAAATATTTTTAAAAGCATTTTTTCTACAACCTCTTCGGCTGAAAAAATGTTTTTAAAAGTAAAAAAAAAAGCCTCTGACGATCCCAGCTGAGTTGCCTGATCGTCAGAGGCTTTTTTTTTTTCTTTTAAAAACATTTTTTCCACAACCTCTTCGGCCGAAGAGGTTGTAGAAAAAATGGTTTTAAAAGTAAAAGAAAAAAATAAAAGTTGGCCACGCCCACTCAGTCACATTACCCCTCCCCCAAGCCACTCCCACAGAACCAGTAGTAACAAATTTTACATTTCACCACTGGTTTATACCCAGATGACACACTGCATAAGGAAAGATAGAAAGTTTATCTTTGTCATTGAAAAATAAAAAAACTTTTTGTATAAAAAAACGGGGCAAGAAAGCTCATAAAATGAGGCAAAACTCACTGAACAACTGTCTCGCTTAGCAACAGAAAATTTGGGCTCAAATTGCGATCGCTTTCTGTACATTCACTACAAAACATTCTAGTTTTCAAGCCCAAACGTAGTATCGTGGCATACAAACAACCCTTCCATTTACATCCCCAATCTGGCATCGCAACATTTCTTTTACATTTACCCATGACTATGTTAAACAACCATAAGGAGACATTGCACATCTCGTCTTACTCTCTGGGACAGGTTTCTGCTAAGCCCTCACTTAGCCTCATGCCTGCATTATTTCGATCATCACAGCTTCCAGCAGCCAACATTCAACCCCCCGTGGATGCAAAAACCTTCCATAATTCATCATTCCTCTAAAGCCGCAAATGGACCGTCCTTTATTATAAGCCATAGTTTGCTGGATAAACAACAGATGGCTGGCTCTGCAGCCCTGTCGTTGGTTAACCCCTGTGTTTGTGGCTAGGACAATATAGAAGCCAATACTCAGATCCAATCAATTCTGGCTCGTTGGGGCATCGATCCAAAGAAAACAGCCGTCCTGTGGGGGAGGGGGAAAATAGCTATTAATAATTTGCAAAAAAAAAAAAAAGTGTGGTGGATTTTGTAAGATAACCAGCTGACGGTGAGGTGGGCTTTCTCCTGGAATGGATGTCAGCACCAGCTATAATTTCTCTGTCTTACATTTCACTTATTTGTAACAACTACAGGGCTGGCGCGAGGCTGCTTAACATCACCTCCCCAATGCTTATGACCACAGCTGCATCAACAGTGAATATATTTTCTTTGGCCCTCGGTGATCTTCCTTGCCTCCATTCACTTATCTTCATGATTCTTTTTTTCTCCTCTGTGTAAATGCCAACACGGTGCTCGCTGCAAGCATGTTGGCATGTGAGTCGCTGGCCTGTTTTATTTCTGGGAGGGGGGGATTCCTGCACCTGTATATAGACAGATTGTCAGAGCGGTGCCAGGAAGAATTGACTGTGAGAGACAATTTAAGAGGAAGTTCTAATGTTCTAATATCCTTTTCACCTTCTCTACTAACCCTTCTTATTAGTATCATTATGATGATGATGATTACTCTGTTGGTTTGCATGTACACTGAGAGCATCTGCACTAGAGACAAATTCCTTGTGTGTTAAATCATACTTGGACATCAGCGAGATGGTTGTTAAGTGAGTTTTGCCCCACCTTACACATCTTCCTTGCCACAATTATTAAGTGAATCTTTGCAGCTGTTCAGTTAGTAACGCGGACTCAGTTGTGGTCGTACGTCGAGGACTACCTGCATTAAATTCAATGAAAGTTACGCTCGGTCAATTCTTTTTTCATAAGCCTTCTTCTGGACAAGATATTTTATTTATTTTATTTTAGTTAGTTAGTTTGTCAAACATGTACGTGATAACAGGTATAAGTATAAACATGGATATGAATACAGGAAATGGGTACAAATAAATGGGGACAGTAAGACAGGGACAGAAGGCACGCTGGTGCGCTTATGCACGCCCCCTTACAGACCTCTTAGGAATGGGGTGAGGTCAACAATAGACAGTTTAAGGTTGAAGTTATGTGGGTTTGAGGATGTAACAACAGAGTCAGGTAATTCATTCCAGGCATTGACCACTCTGTTGCTGAAGTCGTATTTTCTGCAATGAAGTTTGGAGCGGTTTACCTTGAGTTTGTATCTATTGTTTGCCCGTGTATTATCGCAGTTGAAGCTGAAGTAGTCATTGACAGGTAGGACCTTCTCCTGGACCAAAACTGTCCTTCCTTTTCTCTACATCTTCTTTTAGGCAGAAGCGTGGAAAAATGGACGAGTGCCTCGAAACCCTGAAAGATGAAGAGGAAGCTCTGTGGGAGAACGTCGAATGCAATCGTCATATGTTGACCCGTTACATCAACCCCGCCAAGCTGACCCCGTACCTGCGCCAGTGCAAAGTCTTGGATGAGCAAGATGAAGATGAGGTCCTCAACTCCCCGATGCTCCTCTCCAAAATCAACCGAGCTGGTAAGACGAATCACCAAGCTCAGGGAGAGCACCAAGTAACCGTTATATCAGTGATGGTTAACGTTTTTGGTGCCAAGTGCCCAAAGTGTGTGCACACACTAGCCAAAGCATGCGCATGTGCCTGAACTCCCAAAATGCAATGCTAGCACCCCCCGCACATGTGCCCCATCCTGTTCATGTGTCCTGCCCCACCACACATGCGTCCCACTCCACCGTGCCCCGTTTTGGCTTCCAGGTTGGTGCAGGTTTTCCAGACCCAAAATGGGGCGCTGGGAGGAGACCTCGTTTTGGGCCTAGAAAGCCTCCTGCCTCAACCTGCACACACACCCCTGTGCATGTGCCCCATCCGCCGTGCATGCAGAGACCCGAAGACCAGCTGGCCAGCGGGAGACATGTGATGGAGCTCGGCTGGGGCGACGGCTGGCATGCCTGCAGAGAGGGCTCTGCCTGCCACCTATGACACGCGTGACATAGGTTTGCCATCATGGCACTATACCAAACCAGCTATCTCCAGAAATATTAGCAGCACAATGTATAATGTTGTAATCTTAACCAGCCTGGTGGGAAAAAAAACAAAACCACCAGTTGGAGAGATTGAGCTCCACGGAGTAAGAGTTTCAGACCGCTTCACCAGCCTTCCTTGGAGACCCAGTACTTATTCTCTCTTTAGCTAAGCCTTTAAAGGTCAATTAGTTTATCATTCAGGTTTTATTACAATTGCCTTTATTTTATTCTTGGAAACTGTAAAAGCCACCTTAAATGTTAATTTTTAGCAGAAGGACAGCATATCAATTTGGTGTTTAAACAAATGGTATTAAATTCCGGAAGGTTTATATGCAGAGCACCAGTTCTGCTAAATGTTATGCATAAGGCTTGTTCTGTCTTGCCTTGATATTCTTCAGAATTTTTCTTTTTTTAAATGGCGTATTCTTTTGAGTTGTTTTGGCTAGTGTTGGGAAAGGTAATTTCGCAGCCTGCATTTCAAATATTATTATTTTTTCACGTGTTATACAGCTGCAGTCGTTCTTCTTGTGCCACTTTCGCGTCATCTTATCCCGTTCGTAATTTTGGTTGTGAAAAGTGAAATTCTCTATTTTAGTAGCCAGACCAATGTTTGTCCTTGCTGTAGGTCGCCTCCTGGACATCCTCCATACAAAGGGAGAGAGGGGCTATGTGGTTTTCTTGGAGAGCCTCGAATTTTACTATCCTGAACTCTACAAATTAGTGACAGGAAAGGAACCTACACGGCGTTTTTCCACTATCGTTGGTAAGTGGGGTTCACTACTGGAGGAGTCTGTTGTTCCATACAATCAATATAAGACAGTGATGGCTGGGGGGCAGGGCCAGAGTGGGTGTGGCCAGCTTGACGTCACTCATTGAGGCTCCGTTTTCGGCTGTGACCACCTTCTTCAGCCCTCTGCCAGTGAAAATGGAGTCCCGGAGGGCCCCGCATGGCCCTCGCAAGCTCCATTTTTGCTGGCAGTAGGCTGCAGGAGGCCGTCACTGCTGAAAATGGAGCCTGGGAGATCCTGAGCTCTGTTTTTGCTGGCAGAGGCACTTCTGGCCAGTCCTTTCCTGTTTCCAGAGCAGTCCTGTGGGCCAGATCTACGCACCCTGCAGGCCGGATCTGGCCCATGGGCCTTGAGTGTGACACCCCTGATCTACAGTTTGTTTGGATCAGAGTGTTTAGCCCCATGTTGATCGATTGAACCCCTACTGCTACTCACCACCATCAACTTGTTGTGATGACGTACGTTGTGCTAGTTTCTTTCTCTGTTTTCATCGTAGTAGAAGAGGGACACGAGGGTCTTACTCACTTTCTGATGAATGAGATCATAAAGCTGCAGCAGCAAGTCAAGACAAAGGACGCCCAGCGCTGTGAGCTCTTGGCCAAATCTCGTCAGATGGAAGATGAGAGGAAGCAGCTGAAGCTCAACAAGATCGAGCTGCTCACGTTCCAGGAGAGATACAACAAAATGAAAGACGAGAGGAACAATTACAACGATGAGCTGATCAAGGTGAAGGATGAGAACTACAACCTGGCGATGAGGTATGCCCAGCTCAGCGAAGAGAAGAACATGGCCGTGATGAGAAGCCGAGACCTTCAGCTCCAGGTGAGAGGAAGTTCTTGAGAACATTGGATTCCCCCTTTGCATTAGGTGATCATTTCATTCGTGGCCCTGAGTCCATGTTTTTAACAAATCACCAGTATTTGATTCATATATCAACCTCAAACAAATAAAGCACTTTGTGATTTAAATGGCATCCTTGAATGAATGGGTTGACAGGCCAGATTTGAGGACATCATGTAGGAGGCAGTAGCAAGAAACCTGCAGCTCTCCAAATTTATAATGATGATGATGTTATCCATTTAATCATGTCCAACTCTTGGTGATTCTATCAGCCAGGTCTCTCCACATCTTCTCCCCTGTACTACTTCTTTGAGTTGTTCTACGTCCTGGCTGGGGTCAGCTTTGATGGTGTCCAGCCACCGTGTTCTTTGATGGCCTGGACCACTAACTCTTCCAAACCTAATTGCTTTCTCCAGTGAATTCCCCCACATGACATGGCCAAATAAGTGACACCAGATTCAACACAATCTCAAACCAACATAACTAATGGTTAGAGATCTTTGGAAATAGTGTTCAACAGCAACTGAATAGAATACGACCTTCTAGACTAGAAACTATAATTTTTCACAGCTGGTGGACACCCAGATGGCTTGGATTTCAGTGCCTGGGAATTCTGAGAATTGTTGTCTCCGTGCTTGATTGTGAAAGTTAACTTGGAAGAACTCTATGATGAAAAGCTTCATCTAGCTACTAATGGTGTGCTTGGGGTCTCTCCTGCATTCTTTAGCCCTGTTGAGTAATGTCTGAAATGGCTTTAAATTGACTCTGTTGTTTCTCCCGCTTGCTCTTCACTAACAAAACTGTTGTTGGAGTCATTATTTCTGTCTCTGCAATATGTCTTATAGAAAATTAACCAGAGTCCTTCATTCTGGCTTGAAAGCACCGGGGATGGCTTAGGGAATTCGATTTGGAGTCCATCTCAACAGATGGAACCGAGGCTGTTGATGACACCATATGGAGCAAGGATTTCTTCTGAAGACAGGGCGTACTTGATGACTTATACCTCTTTGTTTATCTTGGCTCTCTGTGGGGCTACCTTAGATCGACAAGCTGAAACACAAGTTGAATAAAATGGAGGAAGAATGCAAGCTGGAGAGGAACCAGTCTCTGAAACTCAAAAACGATATCGAAAACCGGCCGAAGAAAGAACAAGTTTTGGAACTGGAGCATGAGAACGAGATGCTGAAGACCAAAATTCAGGAGCTGCAGTCTATAATCCAGGTGACCGTTTCTTTTTTCTGGCTAATATCTGATTATCTACGATATAACTTTGGAACTTAGGATAGGTGAATACAGGAATTGGGAAGGACAGTCTACCTTAACCCAACCCTAACCCAGATTTCTGCTAGTTGCAAGCTACCATTGACCTGAGTGCAGAGTTTGTGTTGTCAGCAACCTGCCTATCCAGCAGCTGAATCAGATAAGGAGGTGGCGTGGAAGTCAGGGTCAGCATCAAGGCAATCTGAGAGTGGGAAGAGGGAATGGAGCTGGCAGAGAGAGAGAGAGAGAGAGAGCCTGGGCCGCCCATCAGCCCTCAGATGGAGAATCAACAGCCCCCAGGTCTGGAGGTGGCTGATGAGCAAGAGGAGGAACAGCTGGGTCCAGTGCCTGACACGCAGATGCACAGAAGGGAGAGGAGAGGAGAGCAGTGGAAATCTATGGGCCGGTCCTCGGGACGGAAGAGCCACCGCTGCTAGTGAAGCCCCACCCTAGCTCTGGGGATCAAAGACAGGGGGCAGAGATGAATAGGTGTGGCAGACAACTATTCATCTCCCTGCCGGACAGACTTGTTAGCCTGCGGTGAGAGAGAGAGAGAGACTTTTTGCCGGGGCTGCTGGCGCTTCTAATAAAGAGAACATTTATTTAACTACAGAGGGTTTGTCGTGTTTGGGAGCCGGGTTAGAACAGTTTGGCAAGAATCGGAAAGTTGGACAAGAATAGGAGAGAAGCAGAATTATTGCCTTGCTGGGCAGGACTCACAGATTCTTCTTAAGGAAAAAGAGATGGCCACATGGAGACCGCCTACTGAGTTAGAAACAATCCCCCCCCATTGATCTGAGGGTGCAGAAGTTCAACGACATCCCCGTTCTGCCATATTGTCACCAACACAGCCTTTTCACTCTCCCTTCTGCCAACTGTCAGTCTTCCCAGGAGATGCGTTGAAAATAATAATTAGGTAGATGGAAAGTGTTAGCTTGACTAACTTGAATTGAATCACTGGTTGGGTATAAAGCAGTGGAGAAATAAAGCAGGAACTAATTGGAGCAGATGTAGAAGGTCGCCCGTGGGGGCCATAAAAGATAGGATGTTGTCATTTTAGAGGTTTCCTTGAGAGTAAGTCCCGCCTTCCTATTTAAAGGTTGGACAACAGGGGTGCTATTCAGCAGGTTCTGACAGGTTCTGGAGAACCAGTAGTGGAAATTTTGAGTAGTTTGGAGAACCGGTAAATACCACCTCTGGCTGGTCCCAGAGTGGGGTGGGAATGGAAATTTTGAAGTATCCTTCCCCCAGGCGTAGGAGGGAATAGAGATTTTATTTATTTATTTATTTTTAAATTTGTATCCCCGCCCTTCTCCCTGAGGACTCAGGGCGGTGAACAGCCAAGTAAAAGCATAAACTACAAACATTAAAATACAATTAAAAAGATATATATAAATTTGGCCCCATGATTAAAAACAATAATAATAACAATAATTTTGCAATATCCTTCAACTGGAGTGGGGTAGGAATGGGGATTTTGCAGTATACTTTCCTTTGGGAAGTATACTTCCCACTCAATCTCTACCTGTTCCTGCTTCTTTACTACAGGCTGGGAAGCCAAGATTGCCAGATTCTGACAAAGCCATTTTGGATATCCTAGAACACGACCGCAAAGAAGCTCTGGAGGATCGCCAAGAGTTGGTCAATAAGATCTTTAATCTCCAAGAAGAGATCCGTCATGCGGAAGACCTCCGAGATAAGGTAAAATGCCACAGTCTTTCGGGATGAGGCTGATAAGCACCCACCTTTATCTCCCTTGACACGCTGCCAAAAACCTAATTGGCAAAGCCACACGGAGCGCAGAGTCAAAACGGAGCTTCAGAATTTAAACCGACCAGAACGAACAAAGTTGCTTCCTACAAAGGCTCATGTCCCTTTGCTCCTCCTTGATGTCTTATGGGAGGGGCCAATCACCTCCAAGCCTTACTCCCGAGTCGCCCCTTTTGTCTTAACTGTTATTGCCTTCTGGCAGCTCTGCGCATGCGCACACTGGGAACAGGCTCCTCCTGTTCCTCTGCCTCGCTGACGTCAGACTCTAGAGGCTCCGGAGTCTGGACATAACTCCCAGATGGCCCTAGCCCCATCTCTGCCTCCGATGCAGAGTCCTCGTCCGAGCCTTCCCCAGTCTCCAGGACTGGCCCATGTTCCTCCCCAGCCTCCTCACTGTCTGAATCCGCTTCCACAGGCCACTGGTGGACTAAACAGCAACATCTTCTCAAACCCTCCTCCCTTTTGCAAGCTATCAAAGTGAAACTGTAGCTTGCAGAGTGGAGTTCTACTGTTTGGGTCAGACTGGATCTCGATGGACCCTCATCTGTGTTTATTTCCTTGTAGTACCTTGAAGAGAAACAAGAACTGGAGTTAAAATGCTCGACTCTGGGGAAAGACTGTGAGATGTACAAACATCGCATGAACACGGTCATGCTACAGCTGGAAGAGGTGGAGAAGGAGCGAGATCAGGTGCTTGAAAATACCTGGGGAACCTCTGGCAGCAGATGTTGGGGAGGTGTGGGTGGCGGAAACCCAATGATTACATTCTATTGATTGAACCAACTCCCTTTTCGTTGCCTAGAACACTCGTAGCAGGTCACATCTTTAAATATACACACATACAAAAGAGCAAAATGAAACAAAGCACAAATATTAAAAAATCATTAATGCACTTGGGCCTGGGATGGAATGTAGTTGGTTCAAACCACTTGATGGATGGAGGGCTTCCTATCTGAAGGGGAAATGATGATCTTAAGTCCTTCAGCAGCTTTTTCATGGTGTTGAACTCTTGGTGTTGTTTTCTCTTCGGAGGCGTTCCACTCCCGGGACGAGGCCCAAATCCAGTATTCCCAGTGCCTGATCGAGAAAGACAAACACCGGAAACAGATTCGGGAACTGGAGGAAAAAAACAATGACCTTAGGATTGAAATCGTCCGGAAGGAAGCAAGTATCATCAACCTGGAATGTAAACTCAGACGTCTCTCAAAGGACAACGGTTATGACCAGGTAGCTCTACCTCCGCTGCTGTTGCTTTGTGTGTCCCAAGTCAGAAGACATCCGGTGAAAGTCGAGGAGGTCCACTTTAAAGGCTCAGTTCTTGTCCTAGATGAATTCAATTAATCAATGGGATGACTTACTTCCAGAGATTATGGATGCTCCATCACTGGAGGTTTTCAAGAAAAGATTGGACAGTCACATGTCTGGAATGCTATAGGGTCTTGAGCAGAGGGATGGACTAGAAGACCTCTAAGGTTCCTTCCAACCCTTTTGTTCTAATGTTCTAGATGGAACTTGCCCATTTTTAAAACCCATCCTCTTCTTTCTTCCAGAGTTTACCACGGAATTTACCATTCACTGTGATATCTCAGATGCTGGAAACCTCCAGACCCAAAACCAATGGCCAAGAGGCAGATGACTCTTCAACTTCCGAAGAGTCTCCTGAAGACAGCAAATTCTTCCCCTTGGATCCACCCCAGTTTAGGAGAAGATTAAACATTAAGGGCTTCCAGGTACGATCCACGTGGGGCTGGGGGTGGCTGGAGGACAGTCTTTGGATTAGACAGTCAGCTTTCATGCATGGTTCAAACAGTTTCCAGCTCACTGCAGAGGGCTGGGCTGCATGATCTGGATACCGCCTTCCAGTAGTCCTCAATTTAGGACCATTTGTTTAATTCCTGTTTGGACCTGAAGACCTTCAAGGTCCTATTCAGCCCTAACCTTAGTGATCCTTAGTGATCCTTAGATTTCTTGCCACGTTCGGGTGTCCCCTTAAGAGTTTTGTAAATTCTACCACATCTCTTCCTCCTATCTCATGTTTCCTTGGTGTTTTCTTCTTAAATCCATAATAGTGCAATTAGTTTTCCAAAACACCAGAGTGATCTTATAATTAGAAGACGGATGCTCCCATTCCAGAGGAGGGGCGCAAATTCATTGCTTACCATGGGCAAAGTGTACGAGGTGTTGTTCTATGGGGAATGTGAACACACATCCTCATTTCAGATGGATTTCTTGCTCTCTTTCAGCCTCCAAGAACAAAATCTCCCCTTGGTACGAATCGGACGCCAGATTTCCAAGGTCAGAGGAACAAAAACTCATGTTCTTGTACTTGTTGGCTTTTCAGATGCCTCCTTAACGTTTAAGTTCTTGCCTTTGTTCCAAACGAACAGTTTCCGGTTTCCCAAAAGATTTTTTTTTTAAAAAAAAAAACCCTCTTCCTCCTCTTTCTGACAGTAAACGCTTTCAAGCAGCACTTGAAATGAACAAGTGATTGAGACAATATTTAGTTCCCCTTCTTCTAGCTGGAAGGTTCCCACCAAAGCTGTAGATTGACCCACTTCAGGTCTTCTCCATTGTGGGTATTTTGAAAGTCTTTCCATCGTTGTGCTTATAATAACCTTGCTGCAGAAAACAATCTTCCATAAGTCTTGTCTAGATCATGCATGAATGCAATCACATAGCTCAGGGGTGTCGAACTCAATTTCATGGAGGGCCGCATCAGAGTGCTTGAACTTGGAGGGCCAGAGGGGGGGCATGGGCGTGGCCAGGGACATGGATATGGTGGGCGTGACACCGGGCTCATGTTGAGGGCACAGGTGGTGGCCAAGTGCTAAGGCCGGACTTCCCTGACACCCTCCCTCACTCTCATTATAATCTTCCTTCCTTCCTTCCTTCCTTCCTCCCTCCCTCCCTCCCTCCCTCCCTCCCTCCCTTCTCTTCTTTTTCCCTCCCTCTTCATTCTCCTTTCTTCTTCCTTCTCCTCTTTCCTTCTTTTTCCTTCCTTGCCCTCCTCCCATCTTTCCTTCTTTTTGTCTTTCCTCTTTCCCTTTCTCCTTTCCTGTCCCTTCTTGCATGCTCAGATGCAAAAGGGGAAACATTTCTCCTTTTGTTTTGTTTTTAGTTTGTTTTGATAGCCCTCTGCCAGCGAAAATGGGGCATAGGGCGGCTGCACACAGCTCCTCCCCCCCCTCCCACCCAGAGCTCCATTTTTGCTTGCAGAAGCACCGCGGGCCAGTCCTTTGCTGTTTCCAGGCAGGCCCCGCGAGCCAGATCTAAACACCCTGCCATCCGGATCTGGCCCACAGACCTTGAGTTTGACATAGATCTTCTCCAGGAAGCTCTGTCTACAACTGGTCCTTCAGGTCTTCCAACAGTGTCCCATCACCACTGTAACTATATCTATCTTCCTAACAACCTATCTTCTGGTTGTTCTCTTCATCTCTTTCCTTCCACCTTTTCCAGCATGGGAACCTTCTCCAGAGCAGGTCCTCCTCCTCCTCCTCCTCCTCCTCCTCCTCCTCCTCCTCCTCCTCCTCCTCCTCCTCCTCCTCCTCCTTCTCCTTCTCCTTCTTCTTCTTCTTCACGTAAGGTGTCCAAAGTAGGATAATTTGAGCTGGGTTATTTGTGCCTCGTGTGACAACTTGGGGGCAATTTGTTCAACGAGCCAATTGTGGGTTTTTTTTGGCCTCCCTGGCATTCTCAGAAGTCTTCTCCAACACCAAAAAAAACAAACAAACCCCTAAGCAAACTTTTGTTTACAATTCAAGCCGAGGATCATAGGGGGGTAACGAAGATGCCCACGGAGACCAAGAGAATCCACAAAAGTTAAATAAAAATTAACATTTAAACTTTTTTGGGGGGGGAAATCTCATGATCTTGACTGAGTTACCGAGCAAAACAGAGAAAATCCCACCAGATACCAGTCATGTTTTTAATGCCTGAAAGAGGTTGCTGATAAACAGATTAAAGGCTTTATAGGAGGAGAATGCAAGCAGGTTTAAAGAGCAACAGAAATAACTTTCGAAAACAAGGTTTCATTTTCGGTGAATTCCGGAAGGACTTGTATATTTTTCGACTCAGATGTGTCTCAAATCCTCAGTCTCTGAATAAAAAAAAAAAAAAAAAGAGGTAGATAAGAAATCGGAAGAGATTTCCTCGGTTATATGATAGGAAAACATCAACAAAGGAAGGGACCCAATTACAGGTAGTCCTCAACGTACGACCGTAATTGAGCCCCCACCTTTCTGTTGCTAAGCGAAACATTTGTGAAGTGAAGTTGTTAAGTGAATCACTGCAGAGGTTAAGTTAGTAATACTGTTGTTAAGTGAACCCAGCTTCCCTATCGACTTTGCTTCTGAGAAGGTCGCAAAAGGGGATCACGTGACGCCAAGGGTCTGAATTTTGATCGTGTGACGGTGGGGATCGTGCAAGTGTTGTCAGCATCAAGGCAACCTGGGAGCTCCGAGGGGGAAGAGGGAATGGAGCTGGCAGAGAGAGCGAGAGACAGAGTCAGAGCCTGGGCCATCCGTCAGCCCTCAAATGGAGAGTCAGCAGCCCCCAGGTCTGGAGGTGGCTGATGATGAGGAGGAGGAACAGCTGGGTCCAGTGCCTGTTGCTCGGATACGCAGAAGGCGGAGGAGAGGAGAGCAGTGGAAATCTATGGGCTGGTCCTCGGGACAGAAGAGCCACTGCTGCTAGCGAAGCCCCACTCTAGCTCTGGCGATAAAAGGCAGAGGGCGGAGATGAATAGACGTGGCAGACAGCTATTCATCTCCCTGCCGGACAGACTTGTTAGCCTGCAGTGAGAGAGAGAGAGAGAGAGAGAGAGACAGACTTTTTGCTGGGGCTGCTGCTGCTCCTAATAAAGGAATTGTTGATTGATTACAGAGGGTTTATCGTGTTTGGGGAGCTGGGTCAGAACAGTGCCGTAGTAACTCTGTATGGTCTCTAAAAGAACTGTTGTAAGTTCAGGACTGCCCATAAAAAGGCAGAAGGTATTGCAAGTCTTCTTTGCATAAAATGATGTGTACGGCACAACTCAAAAGCCAACAACTCGGTTGCTTGTCTTTCTCTCTGACTATCTCCATTTTTGCTGTTGGATGACCCAGTTCTTCAAGGCCACAGTGAGGAGAAGATTGAGACCAGCCACTCTGAAGCATCTTCTCAACCGGTATCCATCAACAGCTCCACGGGCAGCTGCGAAGTTAGCAAAATTGTAAGGAATTTGAAAGCCTGGTCTTTCCTTGTTACCCAGTTATGGGGTGTCTTCTTCCTCTGTTTGCAATTCCAGAAATGGAAGGGGTTGTTTTCCCCCAACCTGCTGTGTAAATTCTTGAATATGATTTCTTTCCCCCCTGCATGAATGTTAATAGTTTGCTCCGTTTAACACACACACAATTGCTATTGCTGTCACCAGGGGTGGGCTGCTGGGGGTTCGCAAGGGTTCGGGAGAACCTCTAGCTAAGATTCTGTGCAGTTTGGAGAACCCCCAAATCCCACTCCTGGCTGGCCCTGCCCACCCCACTCCTCCCCTCCCAGGAGTCCCCACGCGGCCCGTTTTGGATGCAGGTAAGTGCAGGACACGCGTGGAGGCTCAGGGAGGGTGAAAAATGGGTCTACTGGAAGTTCGGCCCCCAGAGGGCCTCCAGAGCCTGGGGAGGCCATTTTTGCCGTCCTTTGCTTGAGAAAAACTCCAGAGCCCAGGGAGGACAAAAACGCTCCCCCCCTCCCACCATGGTGCAGGAGGCTGACTAGGCCACACCCACCATGGCCACGCCCACCTAGCAACTGGGCAGAGAACCCCTTGCTAAAATTTTTGAAGCCCGCCCACCCCTGGCTATCACCTTTCCAACTTCTAAATTTGTATTTCCCTGAAGATATTCCCAGGAATCTTTCCCGATTTTATTTCCCCACTGCAACAGAGGTTCACGAGGAGACAAAACGGGAAAGGTTTTGTTATCTGGTTGCATTGCAAAAGTTGGACATTTCCTGAAAAGAAAAGAAAGAAAAACATCGTAGACTTTTGGCAGCTGTCTGTGAGATTTCATTGCCCAAGAATGTGTTTCTTCAAGATCAGTAAAGTAGAGGGAAAAAAAGGTGTTAATAAAAAAAAAAAAAGCTAGGCGAAGAATAAAAGACACCTTCGGCCAAAGGCTTTCTAAGCAGGCGCTTCTGGCAGCGAAATGAACTATTTTTCACTTGGTTGTGTGATGATGACCCGAAGCCATCCAGATTTCTGCTCTGAATTGATGCTGCTGAGAAGTCCACGATTCATGGTTTCTTCAGGCAGCTGGGTCACACACACAAAAAAATCAAGATGGCAGCTTTGACTCCAAATCAAAGCCCCGCCCAAGGCTAGACAAGACTTAGGGACACCCAATCTAAACCAAAGTTTCTTCTTAACCGTAGCAACTTTAAGATGGGTGGACTTCAACTCCCAGAATTCCCCAGGTAGCATGCTGGGGGGGGGTCTCTGATGGAATGTTGTCTGGATTCCCAGGAGGGTGGGGCTGCATTCCAGAGGAACAAGAGGCAACGCAGCTTAGATAGTTGGTGTGAAAGAAAGAGGGTGAGAACGGTTCCTCCCTAATAGTTCCCAGAGTACATTTTTATGGCGCAAGTCATCTGCTTTAGTTTGGCAAGATGGATGTCAGCTTCCCAAAACCAAGAAAGACACATTGAGGTTCTTTGAAGCAGATTTCTTTACTATTTCTCACCAGTAGATGGAACTTTTGCTAAACTAAAGCAGACAACTTGCACCATAGACACCTATTCTGGGAACCATTGAGGAGGGGCTGTCTTCATCCTTTTACTCTCACACAAACTATCTAAACTACGTTGCCTTTTCCTCCTCTGGAATTCACTCCCTCCCTCCTGGGAAATCCAGGGGAAAAAAATTCCATCACAATAACCACCTTCCAAATTTGCTTTCCCCCCCCCCCAATGATCCTCTCCACCCCCTTTCTATAGCTCACTAAGATAAAAGTAAAGGTTTTCCCGCACATGTGTGCTAGTCATTTCCAGCTCTAGGGGTGATGCTCATCTCCGTTTCAAAGCCGAAGAGCCAGCGCTGTCCGAAGATGTCTCCGTGGTCATGTGGCCGGCATGATTAAACGCCAAAGGTGCACGGAACGCTGTGACCTTCCCAACAAAGGTGGTCCCTATTTTTCTACTTGCATTTTTGACGTGCTTTCGAACTGCTAGGTTGGCAGAAGCTGGGACAAGTCATGGGAGCTCACCCCGTTACGCGGCACTAGGGATTCGAACTGCTGAACTGCTGACCTTCTGATCAACAAGCTCAGCATCTTAACCACTGAGCCACTGCGTCCCTAGCAATGTTCCCTAACGTCCATTATTTTTAAGTCGACTTTCTCAGTTTGGGACACAGAGTTGCCAAGCTGACCCTGCTTCATATCCAACTTTCTGGACTGAGAAAAGATCTCGTGAATTCTTCTTGTAAATATCACCAAGGACACTCAGTCTTTCTGCAAGAGCTCACACATGTTTGCAGGCTGAAAGATTGGTGTCAACAGCAGGAGGGACGCTTAAAATCACTCCCCAAAGTCTCGGTCCAGAAAAAAATCTATTTCTATGAATCAGCTCCACTCAATGGCTGCAGATTTGATGACAACGGAAGTCTTTGCAAATATCACACAGTTGCCTTCGTGTATATTTCTTTTCACAACACTTTTAATTATACATGCCCCATATTTGTTTGTTGTGTTTTCCGATTGATTTTTTTTTTTCCTCCATTCCAGGGAGCCTTTCTTAGTGTGCGTGGCGATTGCTCAAATTGTTTTGATAGACTTGTTCCATTTCTTTGTCTGTTTGTAATGTTTGACAGGCCTTGTCTGTTTGTTTTCCTTGCTCGGTGCTGCTGTAAGCCGTCTTAAGCTGCCTCTCTTGTAGACGGCAGAGCCTTGCAATCCTATTAAATAAATATAAATTAAAATAATCTTTTCCCCCTCCCCCCCCCATTCTAGGGCGAACCCGAGAAACTGATTTCATGTCTTAAATTGAAGTCGTTGGGGGAGAAGGAGGAAGGGGGGAAAAATCCCCCCACCCATTAGTTATTATGTAAATCACTGCTCGGAGATGAATAGACTGCCATATTCTGCGTAACAGATACGATATCACAAGTTTGCCATTGCTGGAAAAGAATTGAAATAGGAAGCTGTTGAAATATTCAACTCTGCCTAATGTGCAAACTGCACACACAACTTGGTTGCAGTGGAAACAGCTACCGTATCACTCTGGGCTTCTTGCAGATATATTTGGAATGCATTTATGCATCCGTGCTCCTCCATACATTCATTCCCACGTTCACCGACACCCCCCCCTTTTGCTCCGTATGATTTCTTTCCTACTTCCCTTACAAAGCGGGTTATCAGCTTTTCATTACAGCCACCATTCTAAATTCTGTTCCTAATTCCAAATGGAATGAAAGGACTCGGTGGATGAAAGCCGTAACAGTGGGAAAACTATCGGGGGTCCAAAAAAACCCAAAAAGATACGTTGCGATTCTTCTGAATAGATTTCTTTATTGTTCCTCGACTTCAGGCAGGAATCTTGCCAGACTAAAGCAGACTATTTGCCCCGTTAAACATATACTGTGGGAACCATTGAGGAGGAGCTGTCTTCATCCTCTTTCTCCCACACAAACTGTATTGTCTCTTGCTCCTCTGGAGTACAGCCCCTCCCCCCTCCCTCCCTCCTGGGAATCCAGACTGCATTCCACGACAACCATAGAATGAAGTGTTAGTAGATGCAGAAGCACTGATTTGTTTACAAACAAGTGTGTTTTCTTCTGAGGCAGGAAACTCATCAAGATGGGTGTGATTATTGCACCATTGATGATTTCTGTTTATCTTTCTTTCTTTCTTTCTTTCTTTCTTTCTTTCTTTCTTTCTTTCTTTCTTTTTGGCCTTCCCTTCTGAAACCCAGCAAACCCTGAGATATCGCTGCGCCAGCATTATGTCCACCACTCCGGAGCCTCCAGGAAATGATTCCATCCTCCGAAGGAACAAAGATGTCCCTCACTCAAGGTAAATGTCCCTTGGCCAACTGGGGAGAAAGGAAGGGCCTATGTAACCAGGAAATTTGGGCGAACAGAGTTAGTTCAGGATCCAGAAGAGTTGTCCCACTGAATGCATTTTCATAGTGGTGAGCACTGGAAGGAATAATGGTACTTGTGAAGAATAGAATAGAATAGAATAGAATAGAATAGAATAGAATAGAATAGAATAGAATAGAATAGAATAGAATAGAATCAATAATTCCTCTGTAGAACTGGTTCAGCAGCTCCTTGGAGTAACTGGAGGAGTTACTCCAGTTACTCCAGTAACTGGTGTAACAGAGTATGGACTCACCCCCAATGTAGGAACCATCTCATGAATCCATCGTTGGGAGAGGACAGGAAGAGGTTAGAACCGTATTTCTCAACCTCAGTGACTTTAAGATGTAAGATGTATGGACTTCTTTTCCAAGGAGTCCCAGAGAAGAACCCACATTGACCTATGACCCAATTCCTGTCATTCTGATCACCTCCAAGAAAAAAAAAAGGATATTCCCCCTTATTCCTCTAAGATAACGAGGATGGATTAGCATGTTTCGGGAAAGGAGGAGTCTAAATCAGGGGTAGGGGATTATGGCCTCTTTATGACCTATGGACTTTAACTCCAAGAATTCCTGAGCCAGCCTGGCTCAGGAATTCTGGGAGTTGAAGTCCACAGCTTGCCAAATTCTAGGAGCTGAAGTCCACATCTTGTAAAAGGAATTCTGGGAGCTGAAGTCCACAAGTTATAAAATTCTAGGAGTTGAAGTCCACAGCTTGTAAATTTCGAGCACAGTTGCCCACTGCTGCTCCAAATAAATAATCAGGTTTGCCCTTGACATTTTTAGCCCAATATAGTTGCTGGAACCCCATACAGCTCATTTCAGGGAAAGTAAGAGATAAATAAATGCTGAGGGTATATTGGTGCAGACCAAAAATTGGGGGATGACGCTTGCCAAGGTTTGTTTGGGGGTCACCATCATGTATGAGGGTCCTTTCAGCTTTCTTTACTTACCACTGTGCAATCTCTTCTCCACCTACTGTCATTCTGCTTTTTGAGTCATCTTCCCTTTCCAGGGTTCTGTCTAAAACTGATGGGCCCACCCAGGTCAAATACTGGGTTATATAAATAAACCATCCAGATTTATCCTCCAAGCAGGAGTGGGCTTCAAAAATATTAGCAAGGAGTTCTCTGCCGGGTTGCTGGGTGGGCGTGGCCATAGTGGGTGTGGCCTAGTCAGCCCCCTGCACCATGGTGATGGTGGGGGGTGTTTGCCCTCCCCAGGCTCCAGAGGCTTTCCTCGAGCCTCCGGGAGGGGAAAAAACGGCCTCCCCAGGCTCTGGAGGCCCTCTGGAGGCTGGAAATGGGCCCGTCTCTGGCCTTCCCAAACTTCCGATAGGCCCGTTTCTCACCCTCCCTGAGCTTCCATGCATGCCCTGCGCTTACCTGCATCCAAAATGGGCTGCGTGGGGATTCCTGGGAGGGGCAGGGTGGGCGAGGCCATCCAGGAGTGAGATTTGTGGGTTCTCCGAACTGCATGGAATCTTAGCTTGAGGTTCTCCCGAACCCCCATCAACCGACTCCTGCCTCCAGGCAGACAAATGTTGAGCCTTATTTCCCTGGATCCTTTCCCCCAACCCAATTCCTACCTCCTGAAACTATCTTGGTCTGATTGAGGAGGAACTCAAATGCGAGATGCTGTGGTGTCATTTCTCCACTCCGCCCTGAAGGCAATTACAACCTTTCTCAGTTCCATTACCTTGAGCCAATTTAAAACCCCTGTAGCTGATGTTAAACTTTCCTTTAAAAAAAAAAAATCAGGAAATTCAATCACAAGTAACTTAGGTGAAGTTTGATAACCAGGAGGATGACACAGGAGAGAGTGGCCATGCTCGACCCATTCCAGACAGTATGTAACTACGGTGTGCTGTCAAACGTGCCTATAGGGATTGTAAGTTTTTATTCATCCAAAATGAAAATATGCAATGGAAACCCTTTCCCCCATCATGCAAGAGGAAAACATTTATTATATGATTTTACTGATGATATAACATGATCCAAGGCAAGCAAGATCATTTATTCCATATTTTCCTACCTCCGTGGAGCGTTCCTTCATCTGATTTACTGGGACAATTTTAAGAGCTGAATTAGACTTTTCTTCACAAGCGCAGGTAACATTCATCTGATGTTTGGAAATAAAAAGCAGCCAGTTTCAGGTGGCCGTGACTGGAAGAGGACACCGAATGTGTTGGTATATAATCCTCAACTCCTACAGCAGTGATCCATCTTCTCTGTGGGGAGTTATGATCCCTGCAGGAGCCATTCCGAGTACATAAAGTGAACCCAAAAAGATTTAATATACATCCCTTCTCCTTTCCTTCCAGTCACAGCCTCCAGAAGCTTCTTTTCCTTTCAAAAAAAATTGGGAGCGTTGCGTGTAACATGTAGTTCGGCCTCCTCCAACGTCATGAAGGAAGCGGTCGCTCGGGAGGTCCCTTCATTTTTTTTCCTACTGCCTCCAAAGGTAGTGTTCAGGAACAGAGTTGGAAGGGACCTTGGAGGTCATTTAGTCCAACCACCTGCTCACGCAGGAGACTTGTGCTAGGGATTCGAACCGCCAAACTGCCGACTTTTCTGATCGATAAGCTCAGTGTCTTAGCCACTGAGCCACATAGTCAGGCATTCCTCCCTTGCCATGCTAGAAAATCTAGTGCAGATGCTAACAGTAGCAAAAAGAAACACACACACACACACACTTGTGGCAGAGGTATATGGCTGGGAGTATGGAATAAAATGTCCCAATGGGTTAGCTTGCATTTGGTAAAAAGTGATCAATGCAAGTTTACTGTTGCAATCATCTGAAAACCCTTCTCCTTTTCGAATAATAATGGTAATAATAACAGCAACACAGCTCCAAAATAATATTAGGGGCCATCTGTGCAGCAAATTTAATATTTCATAGGCAAGAACTGGAAATTATAAGAAGAGCCAGATCTTCTTTTTTGGAAAGCATCATTAACACCTTCCCAGGGCCTGATGTCTCCTTTTCTTAGGAAATGTTTTGTGACCCGGTTGTGTCCCACTCGTGGTGGCACCTTTTCCAATCTTTGTCTCCTTCCTTTCACCTACCATCTGTCTCTCTTGGCGCCTGCTCACTCTTCTGTGGCCACCTCTGGCCACTTCCTACATCAGAGATGTTCTGACTCCAAGATTTGGAGTTACCTGCTGAGGGATATTAAAATGTGCAAACGAGACATCGTGGCGAGAGAGAAAGAGAGAGAGAGAGATCAGTATGTATTTCTTCATTCCAGTTTGACCGAAGAAGATGACAGTTTTGGCTGTGATGCTCTGGAATTAGAAGGTAAGAGATTTGGAAGAGGTTCTTCTTTTTAAAGACCAGCATTCTGAGTACAGTAACATCATCTGGTGGATGGAGATGATCTTCTGGACCTTATTTAGACCTCATGGTGCTTTATGAAGAATCTCTGTTTGAAATGCTGCCCACTCATACTCCAATTTAAAGGTAAAGACCTATCAGAAGAATAACAAATTGTCCATCCACAGTTCCTACCTGATGGGATATTCCTGGTCATTTGGGACATCCTCATGTAAGATTTTGTCAACAGTAGAGAAGTAGCATGCCAACTGCTTTCTTCCAGAAGGTCTTTCAACTTCTGAACCCAGACAAGGTCAGCCAGAAGTTTGCTGCTATCTAGAAAGGAACATGGATGGATCCATAAAGTTCATGAGAAGATCACCAAGAGACAAACTGATTTACCATTTTTTTTAATAACCCGAAGATAATCCATCCAGGCAAATGTATCAAGTCCTGTCTTTATTTCAATCCATTCCCCCCCCCATCTGGTTATTCTTTCTTTAAGAAGGATATTTTTCTTTCTTTCCTCCATATCCATCCATCCATGTCATAAATTTATTTATTCCACACTTCCTTTTCCAGATGATGTCCCTGACAGGTATTCCTCATTACCTTCCTCCTCCTCTTCCCATCATTCTGAAGGGCTGGATCTGGAACAAGTCAATTCTATTTTCAGAAAGTTCTCTCTGGAAAGGTATGGTGTTACTTGTAGTCTGCTTTAGGTACTCAGCAAAATGGAATTGTAAAACTGCTTTTTCTTGGATTGTACCGGGGGTGAAATGCTACCAGTTCGCTCTGGTTCAGGTGAACCGATAGTGATATAAACTACCAGTTCAGGCGAATCAGTAGTTTTAAAAAAAAAAAAGCTACCAGTTCCTCTGAACCGGTATTTTCGACGATCAGCTGTGCCGCGCGGTTTAGCTTTGCTAGAAAGCAGGAAATCCTGCTTTCTAACGAAGCTAAATCGCGTGGCACAGCTGATCCCCCCCCCCCTCACTGTTCTACTTAAATTCCCAAGCCTCCTTTTGGTGCTCACTGCGCATTCACACTCAGCATGTGTTTGGCACACACACAGTGCACATGTGCGGCCAGCGAACCGGTAGCAAACCGGTTCAAATTTCACCACTGGATTGTACCATTGTTGAGGGATGTTGTGGTTTGCCAGCAGCCTGCGGAGCTGGCAGCAGAGTCGGACAGTGAGGAGGCTGGGGAGGACAAGGGGCCAGTCCTGGAGGCTGGGGAAGGCTCGGATGAGGGCTCTGCGTCGGAGGCAGAGATGGGTCCAGGGCCATCAGGGAGTGAGGTGCGGACTCCAGAGCCTCCAGAGGCTGACAGCAGAGAGGCAGAGGAACAGGAGGAGCCTGTTCCTAATGCACATATGAGAAGGGCTGCCAGAAGGCAAGAGCAGCGAAAGCAAAAGGGACGACTCAGGAGTAAGGCCAGGAGATTATTGGCCCCTCCCATAAGGCTTAAAACAGACCAGCAACGGTGTTTGGGCTTTGCCAGAAAACAATGTTGGTAGCTTCGTCTTCTTCATCTACGTCTTGTATTTATTTTTGTATCTGTGACTTCTGAACGTTTGCCAAGAAAGGCCTTTGGCAGTTTGCCTAATTGGACCAAGGTTTGCGATAGGACTGAGGAATTTGTGTTGGGAGGAATTTGCTTTAATTTAGCTGAACGACGCTGGGAATGAAGTAATTCTCAGCTGTTCGAATAAAGTTTGTTTGTTTGTTGCACTGGCTGATTTTCCTACTACTTACTTGGGCCTGGGTCACAACAGGGGATTACTGTAGAATGCACACAAAAGGTTGTCACATAGGGAATGTGGTACCCCCTCCTCATCATCCGTGGTAGCACCCGGAAAAACTGTACTTCGATTCTTCCGAAGAATACAATAGTTCATATAAATTCATGTTAACTCAGAAAGATAGAGAGAAATAAAGCTTGGAGCAGAGGTCTTCAAACTTGGCAGCTTTAAGACTTGCATAGCTGGCTGGAGAATTCTGGGAGTTGAAGTCCACAAGTCTTAAAGCTGCCAAGTTTGGGGACCCCTGACTTGGAGGGAAAAGAAATGAAATGATTTGCAAGTTCCCGATGCTGATATCCAAGCTAAATTTTGAAAGGTCATAAAGCTTTTTTGCACACACCAGATATTTCAGAAGTCTGTTGCCATTGTTTCGTTTCCTGCTGTATGTTA